AGCACCAGTTTCCTGCGGGATAAGAGACCTTTGAAGACTGCGTTGCACATTTAGTAATAAACACAGGATCGCTTTTCTCTACCCGGTCAAAATCAAATAGCCCAAATTGCCTTTTTTTCGACCGTGCTTCACATTTAGGTCGGGCAAAAGAGCTCCACAGTTTCTGGTCACCCTACAGGCCGGAGTGAGTGAGAGCCATTCTAATGATTGCCACCATTAATTTATACCTTCCAACATTTCTCCGATGAATATAGGGACATCTTATTCCATAATAATGATAACTTTTATTATTTATACCCTGCCCATCTGACTGGGTTGCCCCAGCCACTCTAGATGGCTTCCAACATATATAAAAACATAGTATAGGGATGTCTTCAGATGTCTTCTAAAGGTTGTATAGTTGTATAGTTACTTTTCTCCTTGGCTCAGGGGTCGTAAAACCACATACCATCTGATGAAAGTAGGGATGTCCTGCCATACCCTCGAACAACCATACCCTCAAATCAATCCGGGATGGCTTCTGTAGATCCAGGAATGTCAGTATTCAATTGTTTGAGCCAAATGGTGCCAAAACAAACATGAATGCTGGGGACCTAGATGCTCTACTACTGAGTTATGGCTCCTCTTGTAAACTGTCGTGGGATCGCCAGCAAAAAGGAAAATGTTGATGCAAAGGAGAAAACAAGAATGTGATTGTTTGAATTTTGCATAGGTGTCTTATTCATTCTTCATTGTTGCACATGCAACAAAGGAGAGATCTATGAAGAAACTCATTTTTTTTAAAATGTCAGGTGGACATGCAAATGTCTTTGGCATAAGGATAGGATGTGCAAAAACTGTAGCACTGGTAGCAGAGGCCACTATTTTTGAGGGAAAATAAACCTCAGAGAATTCATGGCTGGGCGGGGAGATGGCAGGCCTCAGGAGCACTGCTCTTGGAATTCAAATGCAAGACCTTTCTCAATTATGCCTTCAATTGCTTGCACAATTCAACTCATGCTGCTTAGCAATATTTTGGGAGAAACAGGGTGTTACAGTTAACAACACATTAGTAGTGATGGCACCATTTCACCTTAGGATGCCCAGAGGAAAAAGAGGCAGCAGAACATAGAGTAACTGTGCTGGGGGATTGCTCTGAAACACTGCCATCTTGCGAGTATTTAGAGATAATACAGCATAAATCTGCTTTAAAGTTTTGGCAGCAGCTTCATTCCCAGCACTGCTTTAGGAATTCGAAGAAACCGAAAAACCCCCCAGGGTGGTTTTGAAATTAGTGGTTACAGTCAATGCACTTCTGAATAGAATCTAATTATATCCCAAACACAGAGGAAAACCTGATCTATGATCTCAGGAACCTCCATGCAAAATATGGTTACAATATCTTAAAAGAAACATACAAGGGAAACAACTTTCCAAAATATACAGCAATGCTAGTGCTGCTGGATTCATCAGTAGGACAAATATGTTGTAGTGTAGCAGTCCAGGAAAACCTCCTAAAATATTTATCCCAGTTGGAATCCATGTTGGATTAGATTTGTGCTGCTGTTTATTTGTTTTCAAGCATCATTTACACATTACTTGGTTTTTTAAGACTAATCCCAAGCCCCTATATTCTCACTCAACTACTTTGTTCTGCAGAACCAGAGGCAAACAAGGTGGTCACATACGTAAGTCACACGATAACCTAAAATAAACCTTTTCAAAAATATAACAATATGAAATTAAAATATAAAATTTATATTTAATGACACATCATTTATATCAGGCAATATAACACTTGTATGACAGGAGCAAGACTTCCAGTGATAAGGAGGCATGACAACTTTTTGTCATGACATCAAGTCTATTCTCCTTATATATATTTCATATGTGACAGTGTAAAACAGAGTGTTACTGTGATTGTTTTCATCATCCCTTTCTTCAAGGCTTTTGGTTTGCTCTTGTGACTGTTCTCATCATTTCTTAAAGTACTGTTTTTATTAGCCACCTATTGGAGCACGAGAAATGAAATACAGTCGTACTTTGGTTCTCGAACGCCTTGCGACTCGAACGTTTTGGCTCCCGAACACCACAAACCAGGAAGTGAGTGTTCCAGTTTGCAAACATTCTTTGGAACCTGAATGTCCAACGTGGCTTCTGATTGAGTGCAGGAAGCTCCTGCAGCCAATCGGAAGCCACACCTTGGTCAAATGGACTTCTGGAATGGATTCTGTTTGAGAACCAAGGTAATGCTGTATAATAAAACCTTATGGGATCAAATTCTGGTGAATTTCGCTGGATACACAAAGGACTTCCATGTGTGCCTTGGAGCGCTTCCAGACGATCTATTTATTGAGCATTCATCCGGATTTGTTTGCAGGGAGAGATTTGACAACGTTGCCTATTTAATGAGGATTCATTCTGGCTTTCTTCATGAGGTTAGATGGCGTTGTGTCAAAGCAAGTGCTATCCCACACTTTTCTAGAGCATGTCCCCATCCTTTTATCTCAAGAAGCCTGATCTTTTGGGAAAGTTTGTCGTGCAAGAACTCTTCATCAACTGTACCTGTGCAACCGGCATTTGCCGGTGTGCAACTGAGTCCAACCCCATAACAGCAACAGCCTGGACGCACCTTTGGTTGTTGCTCTCAGATGTATGGATAAAAGTGTGAACTTTTGAGGCTGAGTTGGGACAGTTCATGCCTCATTCATGGAAATACTTTGTGTGTGGTTTCTCTCCTTCTCTCTACCTCCCCACAACCGTGCAGCTGGATTGCATCTCCAATACAAAAGTGACGAAATGTTGTCCTGTAATGTTCCGTACTGATGCATATCTTTAGGCTCTCCATCAACTGCAGGCCAGCTTGGAGCAGCGCATTAACCTTCTTGCTTTGATAGCTGCGGTTGTTCTCTGAGCGGTATTCAGATAGCCAGCGTTCACCGCCAAACAGGAAAGTAGATTATTGAGAGCAAGCTCAGTAATGAAGATACATTTAATAAGCAACTCCTGCAAACATTTTCCGGTACCAATTAGGGAGAGGGAGTGAAATGAAATGCGGTCGGAAAATTACTGTGAGCTGTGCACTAATGAAGTGACAGAACAGAATGCAGAGGGAACCTTAGAGGAGATGAATACATGGTAACAAGGCAGGGAATGATGTGGACCTGCTGACACTGTTCCACTGCCTGCCAAATTGGATTTTGAACATGTGAATTACCTAGACCACTTTCCCCCCTTCGCCGTCAGTCCAAGAAGAACCAAGAAAAGTGCATAGCCGTACGAAGCTGCCTTGTAGTGAATCAGACCATTGGCCCATTTAATTCTTAAGTCAGTTCCAGGCTTATTCAGTCATTCTCCTTCCACCACCAGAGTGCACAAGGAGGAAGGAGGAGGAGGAGTCCATTGGCCTTCAGCTGTCCCACCCCCAAACAAACTTGGTAAAGCCATCAGGGACTCTTTCCTACTGACTAAGCTGCTGGCTCGTTTCCTGAACTTGTTTCATGTGCACACATTCTAGGAGTCTTGTGAATTTTGATCTTGAGACCGTGGTAATAGCGCATCTTAGCAAATTTACCCAGTAACATGCACTCACACAGGTCTTAAAATGGGGATGTTCTCCGTTTCCTGTGACGTGAGATTGAGTGTTAAAGCATTATGAGAATTATATGCTCTGTGAGGGCAACAGGGGTCTCTTAACAGTCCAGGCACCCTTAACAAACTACGACTCCCAGAATTCCTTGGGGGAAGCCATGGCTGTAGTAGTATCATAGTGCTTTAATGTGGCCCATGTGTTTATGTGCAGGACAGTTAAGGGAAAGGGCTATAGTTCTGTCGTAGAACCCTCTATCTTCCCTCCAGAAGGTCCCAGGTTCAATCCCTGACATTTCCAGGTAGGACTGTGAGAGATTTCCCCTCTGAAACCCCGGAAAAATCATTGCTAGTCACTGCCAGTAGTGAGCTAGACAGACCAGTGGGTCTGACTCTGTATAAAGCTCATTTATAACGATGGTAATTTAAAAGCAATTCCAGACAATGTATTTGTCTCATATGGTTTTAATTATATATGAACATGAATGAATCTGACACCTATTATTTAATGTGAGATTCTTGCTGGCAGAAATTAGGTAGCAAGCTGTGACTGCAAATAATAAGCCTGTAGCAAAGCAAGCTTGAAAACAAACAAGGTAAGCAACAGAGTCCTTCGGTTCCGTAAGAAAATAGATTAAACATGGGCATGGTCTCCCTGCGACCTTTTTAATCACATTTGTCAGTGATTTACGGTTTCTCCAGAGCAAGTCCCTAAATCCTGAATTCAGCCGCACCTATGAGCTCTGAAACAGCACCATCTGGTGACTTCATGTAAGATTACAATGCAGTGAAACAAATGACCAGCAAATTTGAAGTTGTTGAGAGGATCAAATGGGAAGGAGGGAGATAACCACATGCTGAACATGGGATGGAAGTGGGATTTAAAATTAAAATAACCAATCTGGCATTTTAAACAGTGTCTTTCTCGCTATGTTATGTATTTTTGTGTTTTTCTATTGTAAAAACCGCCCTGAGATCCTTAGATGAAGGGCGATACAGAAATTTAATATAAATAACTGTCCTCTCATGGAGATGGGGGCGGAGGAAAATAGGTCAGATTTCAAAATAAATAAAAAATAAGCCACATTGAGAGGGGGGGAAAGTTGGGATTTCAAATAAGATAAATTAAATAAATAGAAATAGAAATGAGCTTGCACGCTCATTGGGAGCAGGGGGAAGTTGGGATTTCAAATAAGATAAATAAAATTAAATGGAAATAAACAGAAATGAGCTCGCCCGCTAATTCGAGGGTAAGAAAGCAGGGATTTCAAAGTAAACCGAGACGCCCACAGGAGGAGCCTGCAGGGGCGTGACTGACTCCTCTGGCCAGACCGAGGCCGCCCCTCTCGCCCCGCACATGGCGGGCTCCGCGCCGCGAAGGCGGGACCCGGAAGTGATCCTTCGGCGCCGGAAGAAGAAGCTTCCCCGGCCGGCTGCTTCCGGTTCCGGGTGACGGGCTGAGTCACTCCGCCGCTGCCTCCCTTTCTCGCTCGCCCGCCGGCCGACCGAGCTCCTGTCCTCGCTCAGCTGCCGGGTCCGTCCCCCCCGCTCCGCCCGCCGCCGAGATGCCTCTGGAGAACCTGGAGGAGGAGGGCCTCCCCAAGAACCCCGACCTCCGCATCGCCCAGCTGCGCTTCCTCCTCAGCCTCCAGCCCAAGCGCCCCGACCCGGCCGTGCGCCAGGAGCTCATGGCCGCCATCCGCGAACACGGTGAGTGAGGAGTCAGGCGTCTGTTACCCCGCCTTTTCCCTGACTGGGGCTCAAGGCGGCTCGCAGATCTGGGGAAAAAAGGGCAGCTTCAAAACATGCGGGGGGGGGGGTTTACAACATTTAAAAAGCCATTAAACTTTAAATGTCATCCTGGGACTGATTGGGGTAGAAATTCCCTAAACGGTATAGGAATTTATTCATGTATATAACTACCGCGCCAAGAATGTCATTTGCCCCAAGAATGGAAAGAAAAGAAAGATTGGATACAAAAGCTCACGGACTCTGCAGAAATGGCGAGCGGAACTTACTGGGAAAATAAGAAATCGAGACAAGAAGCTTTTAAAAAATAAATTAATAAAAGAATGTAAATGGTTTGTTGGATATGTACCAATAAATTGTAAACAGATAAGGACCTTGGCAGGATAATTGTAATAACCTGCAGTTTCGCAAGAGTCAATAAATAAAGTAGATGAATGGAATAGTAAGTTGATTTAGAGTATGCAGCAAATGATAAATATAAATTTAAGGAACCGCAGAAAGAGGAGGAAGGAAGTCGGGTTCTGAAATGTTAAAATGGCTGTAAAACTATTGAAATGTGTTTAACTGAAAATCACTTGTTGTTGTCATTTATAATATGTACATCTTCAGGGAGTGTCCAGAAAGTGGTGTTGGCGGATGAGTGTTCAGACCCCTGGGCTCTCACTTGTGGGGTGCCTTAGGGTTCCGTCTTCTCCCCCACACTTTTTAATATCTATATGAAGCTGCTGGGAGAGATCGGGGGTTTGGGTTGGGTGTTCATCAGTATGCAGATGATACCCAGCTCTACCTCTCTTTCAAATCAGAACCAGTGACGGTCCTGTGTGAGTGCCTGGAGGCGGTTAGAGGAGGGACGATGGCTAACAGATTGAGGTTGAATCCTGAAAAGACAGAAGTACTGTTTTTGGGGAACAGGGGGCAGACAGGTGTGGGGGACTCTCTGGTCCTGAATGGGGCAACTGTGTCCCTGAAGGAGCAGGTGCACAGTCTGGGGGTCATTTGGGACTCACAGCTGTCCATGGAGGCGCAGGTCAATTCAGTGTCCAGGGCAGCTGTCTACCAGCTCCATATGGTATGCAGGCTGACACCCTACCTGCACGCAGACTGTCTCACCAGAGTGGTGCATGCTCTAGTTATCTCCCGCTTGGACTACTGCAATGCGCTCTATGTGGGGCTACCTTTGAAGGTGACCCAGAAACTGAAACTAATCCAGCATGCGGCAGCTAGATTGGTGACTAGGAGTGGCTGCCGAGACCATATAACAGTGGTCTTGGAAGACCTACATTGGCTCCCAGTACGTTTCTGAGCACAATTCACAGTGTTGGTGCTACCTTTAAAGCCCTAAACTGCCTCGGCCCAGTATACCTGAAGGAGCGTCTCCATCCCCATCATTCAGCCTGGACACTGAGGTCCAGTGCCAAGGGCATTCTGGCGGTTCCCTCGTTGTGAGAAGGGAAGTTACAGGGAACCAGGCAGAGGGCCTTCTCAGTTGCTGTGCCTGCCCTGTGAAACGCCCTCCCATCAGATGTCAAGGAAATAACTATCCGACTTTTAGAAGACATCTGAAGGCAGCCCTGTTTAGGAAAGTTTTTAATGTTGAAGTTTTATTCTGTTTTTAATGTTCTGTTGAAAGCCTCCCAGACTGGCTGGGAAAACCCATCCAGATGGGTGGGGTAGAAATAATAATAATTAAAAAAACAACCTCAACAACAATAATAATCAAGCACAAGTTATGAAGAAGTGGCCTAATCAGCTCAATGTGGTACTCTTGGATGGATCCAGAGATAGTGGATTTCAGGGAGCCATTTAAGATTTCAGTGTAGGAGTGTGCCATTATTGAATGCACTCTCACTTTTAAAAAGCATACGCTATGATTTTCCTGGTTTTATCCTCGCAAAAACGCCATGAGGCAGGTTGGGCTGAGAATGAGTGTGAGCTGGTCCAAGGTTGCATTTTTTGCGTGAGTTGAGGAATTGAATTTAGGCCTCCCCAGTCTCAGGCCAAATACTTCAAATCACTGCCTCATGCTGGTTTTCTGCTTTTGTGAGGGGACAAAGCAATGTTAATTTCTTCAGAACTTTTTGCTGTTGTGATCTAAGATAAGATTTTGGCAGGGCTAATTGTTGAAATGGTTATGTTGTCGTCCACAGACATGGCCCCATATTACGAATCCCTCTGCAAGTCACTTGATTGGCAGGTAGATACCGATCTCTTGAATAAGATGAAGAAGGCAAATGAGGAGGAGTTGAAACGCCTTGATGAGCAGCTGGAAGATGCAGAGAAGAACTTGGGGGAAAGTGAAATCCGTGATGCCATGATGGCCAAAGCTGAATATCTCTGCCGAATTGGGGACAAGGTATTTATTTTTTTACATAAAATAAAATGTGTGTAAAGCGCTTTCTGGGTATTTGCCTCCACATTCTCAGAACATGGGGTGGGAGGGAGGGGCAGGTGGGCATGCGTTGGCCCTGCCATTCCGATTGACTTTTGTGCATTGAGCAGGGTGATTTGAAGAGGATCTCTTTGTGTGCTTGGTGATCAGGAACCCCGTGTGATCAGAGTTCTCAGTTGTGTGGAGGATTCTGAGCGCATTCAATTGCATGCATGGAGTTCCCCTCAATGTGAGAAGGCCTGAAGTTGTAGCCAGAGAAATACTGGGAGTGGGGTCAGTGAGCACAACCCCACTTCTGCTTCCATGAGTTCTCAGATTGTGGTTTTGCTTCTCCCCAAAAAGCCACAATCACAAACCATCTTTAAGCCTTGGTTTGTCGTTTATTGTGCTTGCACCAGAGGAGGAGAAGTCAGGAAAGTTGCATGAATATGCTGCTCATTTGTGGTAAACCATGGTTAGCCAGAAGCTGTGGCTTATTGTTATATGTCAATGCACTCCTTTATCTCTGTTATTTGTTAGCTGAAAGGTTCATGCTCCTCATACATACCTGCTTTCCTTCAATCAGTGGGGGAACGTAGTGCATAACCTCGGATGGGGCAGGGGGTACCTGTTAGCAAATTACAGATCTGTTCTCCAGAGCGTCAAATCTGCGGCATCTAACTTAAGCAAATGCTGTCTTGTCAGGAAGCTGCTCTGACTGCCTTTCGGAAGACATATGACAAAACTGTGGCTCTAGGACATCGGCTGGATATTGTGTTCTATCTCCTCCGAATTGGCCTGTTTTATATGGACAATGACCTCATCACCCGGAACACTGAAAAAGCAAAAAGGTACCATTTCTGTTGTTGTTGCTGCTGCTACCTTGATGTGCAAAGCATTAGTCTCTTGCTTAACAGTAATACAGGTTCTGAAGATGTAGTCTGGTTGCTAGGGAATGGCTTCTTTATGTAGCAGGGAGTGTATACTTTAGATGAAGTGTGGCATGAAATTCAGAATTTTCAGAAACATGATGATCCTTAAAAGGATTGGATACTTCATTTCATATATTTTTAAACAGCATGTTGGGGAAAATCGAAATACACAATACTTATTGAACAAAAAAAACAAACATTTTAGGAACCTGAAAGGTGTTAAAGATACCAGAAGAATACACTTTTATGAAAATTAAAAGTACCAGTAGCTTTTATTCAGTCAGTGCTGACAAACACAATCATCTTACATAGGATGCATAGTCAAATGCCCATATGCCCACTTATCTGGGAGTTAGCCTCATTTATCTTAGTTGGACTTGGGTTCCAAGGAACCACGCCTAGGATTGGGCTATGGGTGTCTTAGAAGGTAGTAGGCAAAATTAGTTATCCTTAACTTAGAATTACTACTTCATTTATATCCCACAGGATCATTGTCTAAAAGAGCCATAGATCAAGCCATACATCAGAGTAGTTGATAAGAGCTGCAGCTGAAAGCAACCTGCAGCACACCGCTTTGTCAAAGGTTGCAGTGTAGTCTCAAAGCAAAACCATCCCATAGCTTTTGTTTGAACTACTGTAATAAAGCTAGTTAAGCAAATGCTTGTGCATGGCTAAGGATGCTGGGGAAATAACACACATACCTGTTTTCTTTTAAAAGCCTAATAGAGGAAGGAGGAGATTGGGACCGTCGGAACCGCCTTAAGGTCTACCAGGGTCTTTACTGCGTGGCCATTCGAGACTTCAAGCAGGCAGCTGAGCTTTTCCTGGATACAGTTTCAACATTTACGTCTTATGAACTTATGGATTACAAAACCTTTGTAACATACACAGTCTATGTCAGCATGATTGCATTAGACAGGCCTGACCTTAGAGAGAAGGTACGCCAAGCAGCTACTTCCACAGAGAACCTTCAGAGTGTGCTTTGTGTTCCTTATTCCTTTCATGTCTGATTTTTGCTGGCTTTGTCTGATTTCTTTTAGGTTATCAAAGGGGCAGAGATTCTGGAGGTTTTGCACAGTTTACCCAAAGTCCGGCAATATCTTTTTTCACTCTATGAATGTCGGTATTCAGTTTTCTTCCAGTCGCTGGGTAAGGAAGTGTTTCTGCTTTTTTGCTCTGTGGGGGGTTACTGGGCTGTTAGGTGGGCAGCACACAGCTTGTGGGTTACATGTGCAGCCAGCCCACCCAGACTTGCCCCCCCCCATCTCCTAGGATTAGACAGAAACAAAAAACACGCATCCACTTCCCTGTACCCACCACACAGGAATGCAGGCTGGCCACACAGGAATGCAGGTGCTGATGTTAGCAGATACACAGGTCTCCCCAGATAGGCTTAACCTGCCCTCGCTAGTTTGCATCAGGCGTAGCCAGCGTGATGTCCTTCAGATTATGTTGAACTCCATCTTCCATCATCCCTGCCCATTGGCTATGCTGTCTGGGGCTGATGGGAGACTTTATAGTGTCCACCAATATTCAGTGGCACATGGTTCATGCTGTTAAACTACCTTCCGGGGGGAAACAAAACTTTTGTGAGATGCAGGCCTCATTTTGTGTTCTTATGTTTCCCTTTCAGCCACCGTAGAGCAAGAGATGAAGAAAGATTGGCTGTTTGCGCCCCACTATCGCTATTACGTTCGGGAAATGAGAATCCATGCCTACAGCCAGCTCCTAGAATCCTACAGGTCGCTTACACTAGGTTACATGGCAGATGCTTTTGGAGTCTGTGTAGAGTTCATAGATCAGTAAGTATATCTATATCTCTCTATATATTTTAAATGCATTTCTACAGTTTATAGTGATTCCCGTCTAGATAAAGGGGATAGGTCATTTGCTGATATCTTTGTTTAAAAAAACTATGTGAGGAAGAACCATTGATTACAAGATTTGCAGAGGTTGGGTTAAGGCAAGAATCACAGAATTGTAGAGTTGGAAGGGACCCCGAGGGTCATAGAGTCAAACCCCCGCATATCATCTGAGCAGAGGAGCCTTGGGGTGCTTGTGGCAGCTGCACTCTGTACAGAGTCCACCCTTCAATTTTGGAACAGGAAGACTGGAACTCTTCCTGAGGCTTTTATAACCCAGGATCAACTACAAGTAATATGCTGGATGGGGTGTGTATGCCTGTGATATGGCTGTGCTGCAGCTGGTGCAGGGTTTGGTGCGCCTCCTGCTGACGGAGGGAGGCAAGAGCTTGTACAGCTAATGCTCAGCAGCTACACACTTGCTTCTGGGCCCAGTTGAAGATGCTGGTGCTGTATTTGAAGCCCTTTATGGGCTGGGAGCATCACTCCCTGCGGTTATCAAATCCGGGCCTGCTGTGCATCCTTGATGTGCTATAAAAACTTGCTAGGAAGGCTCCGTAGATTAAAGGAATACTGCTGCAGCATCTTATTTGATTATGCCATTGCATACTGCACCAGAAATGCTAGCCCACGTGTTACACAGGTGTAAGCTGCAAGAGCAGAAGCGTCTGTGAGTTGCACTGCAGCAGCCACTAAGCAGTCCTAGCCCCATTGTGGTTTGCTAATTGCAGTTCTTTAGTTTGATAGCTGTAAACAGAGCAGAATTATGCTGGTTGAAGCACTTTCCAACATCTTTCAAGAAGTGATTGCTTGCATCAAGCTAGCATGGCTGTAGGCCACAATGTTAGGCTTGTACCTGCCAGCCCTGAGGCAAGGCCCCAAACTGGACCAAAAAATGCCAGTCTTGCATCATCCACCATGAAATTTCAGGTGCTTTGCAACAGATACAGATGGTGGTGTCCTAAGCACACTCTCTCTCTCTCTCTCTCTCTCTCTCTCTCTCTCTCTCTCTCTCCAGGGAATTGTCAAGATTTATTGCTGCTGGGCGACTACATTGCAAAATAGACAAAGTCAACGAAATAGTAGAAACTAACAGGTACAGTATGTTGGACACCACACCCACTAACACCAAAAAACTAGTAGTGACATCATGCTTAACATTAAGGACTTTGCAGCCTTTTAATTGCTGCCCAACCAAACGTATTGCATACGTTTTACAGATGGAAAGGTAGTAGCTTGCCCAAAGCCAGGTGAGATAAGCTCTGCTCACCCAACTCAAAATACTCTTTCTACTGGAACAATATCTTTATTAGAGATAGAACCGTGTGTTTCCAAACTTTCTACCTTCTCTCATCAGCTCATCTGCCATGGAAGATACCAGGGCAGGTGTCACGATTCACTCTCAGCAAATGGGGTGGGGCAGTACTGGCCAGGCTTGTTGCCCAGCTGAGCTAAATATTACTGAAGACACACCCATGCTCTCCTGCACCTGTGTGTTCCAGGGAAGGATTAGTAGTGATGAACAAGCTGCCTTTCAGGAAACTTTGCCTGCCATTACTGCTTTGCTCATAATGAGCTTCCTGTTCAGTATTTTGAGGAACTCTTTAAACAGTTTTTGAGAGCTGTTTGATAAGTCATTCCTAGTGAACCACCTGACTAAATTCTCTCTCTCTGTCTCTTTAGGCCCGACAGCAAGAACTGGCAGTATCAAGAAACCATTAAAAAAGGAGACTTGCTGCTAAACAGAGTGCAGAAGCTTTCTAGAGTAATCAATATGTAACTTTTAAAAAAGCAAAAGGGGGAGTGCGTAATTGAGACTGAAGCATTTTGGAAGTCATCGCTGTATGGTATTACTTCTGCTATTGCTGAGGAAATTGGAACCGTGGTATAGTTAAGGGTTTTTTTTTTATAGGCTACTTCCATACGTTAACAAAACTGTATAAATGTTCTGTTTGTGTTTTCAGATCAATTTCATTTATTAAATGTATAATACAGTTGATTTTCCTGTTCCTTGAGTGGGCTTAATTTGGTTAATAAAATTGGTTTATTTTAAAGCAGCAAGGATGCTGCTTGAGATGGCCTGAGTGGCCACTCGCGTTCCTGCTGCCATGGTGATCAGTGACCAGTTGAGCTGAACCAGGAGCATGGTGGGAGGTTTAAAGCTTCCCCCCCTTGCCATTCTTGTAGCAGACAGTATACATCTTCCTGGGGTGTGGCTGAGATTAACCAAGAACCAGGTGAGGGTTGCCCACTTGTAATTCAAAGCTTAGTGCTAGAGTTTGTCCCAAAACTGGTGTGGCCTGTTCCCTGTGGGAGAGCATATATTTAATTAACATCCCCCCCTTTTTTTTTACCAATAAATCTATCCAACACAGCTGGCTAGCTCCCCCCACACAGGTAAATGTGCTGCTTAGATAAATTGCTGCCATGCAAAATTATGTGATGCGAAGCTTCTGTGTGAGATTTTAGTGTCTGCTTGGATAGGGAGAGTTGGGTTGGGGGCTGCAGCAGCAACCTATTGAGAGATGAAATGGGATCATAAATATTGGATTGCTCAAGCAGGAGAACAGAAAGCAATTAGAGCATCATTAGGCCACTGAAGATAAGAGACAATATTGAAAAGCAGGCTTCTAGAAGGTACATTAACGGCCTTGATGAGGTGTGGAGAAACTACTCAGTTAAACAGTACATCTAACATGAGGCATCCAAGGAATGTTGGCTGACACAATCCACACTTTGCAACCTGCTGTGCAAGTGAACAACAGATTCCTTCTAACCATAGTTTCCTTTATCTTGGAGGCAAAGAAACCTGATCAGGTCTTCTAGAACTGAGAATGAGCTTAGCATTTATGATTAAGCCTTAAACAAAACCTACCTTGTAATAACTGAAAAAACCTCTACATTTCACTGCTGTCCTTTATATGACAAGGGTGAATGTTTCTAATAAGCATTTTGTCACTATAAGCTCTACACGGTATGTCGTGTACTGTCTACAGCAGGTGTGTGGAGGCCAAATCTGAGGCTGCCATGTTTACTCCTTCAACCCATGAGGCTGTTTGGGGAAGCCATGTCTGCCCACCCTACACCTGACATCATATAGGCAAAGACAGGGTTTGACAAAAGCCACTTTGTGCAGCTCCCAAGGTACACAGCAAGCAGCTGTAGACAATTAGAACGCCTCAAAGAATAGTCAGCGCACTCCTGTGATATTTGTTCAGGCAACCATGTAGAGGACATTTTCCTTAAACGTTCATGAATGAAGAACAAACATCAAATCTCTGTGAGACATCAACTTCGTTGGACTGGTCATGTGCAGATGCCGGATTATCGTCTTCCAAAGCAACTACTCTATTCTTAACTTAAAATGGAAAGCGTAATGCTGGTGGTCAACAAAAGAGGTTTAAAGACTGTCTCAAGGCAAATCTAAAAAAAATGTAGTATAAACACTGACAACTGGGAAACACTGGCTTGTGAGTGCTCCAGTTGGAGAACAGCCTTTACCAAAGGTGTTATGGGTTTTGAAGACTCAAAACTAAAGACACAAAGGAGAAATGTGCTAGGAGGAAGGCATGCTTGGCAAATCCACACTGATCAACTCCCGCCTGGAAACCAATGTCCCCACTGTGGAAGGACCTGTGGATCCAGAATTGGCCTCCACAATCACTTACAGACTCACTGTTAAAACTGTGTTTATAGAAAACAATCTTACTCGGCTACGAGTGATCGCCAAAGAAGATGATCACTGCCAGTTTTTTTATACTGTGAGTAGATCGCAGACTCTTGCAAGTTGGATGTGCCTGGTTTAAAACAATTGCCAGTGGGAGAAGGGATCTCTTTTACTTGATGGAAAACTAGAAAATGTGTTGATGCTCCCAATTGCTCTTGACTGCCTCTAAAATGTGGAATGGCAGCAATGAATTGGGCAACCACTTCCCTTGATGGACTTTTGAGGGCAGGCAGTGTCAGTGAGATACTCTCTCTATCTGCATATGCCATATTTAGTGAACCCAGAGAGGGGCGGTAGCATTCACTCACCTTATGCCACGGCCCTGGGCATTCCAAATACTTGTTTAGCCCACTGTTTCAGCACTGATTAATGTAGGAACAGAAACTGGACACACTCAAAGTAAGGGAGACTGGAGAGACTCATAATCTGAACTTGCAGTGTAGGCAAATCACTGTCCTTACCAAAGCTGTCCCCCTTTCTTCCTGTCTTTAAAAAGTTTGCCTCAAAAACAGTAGCAAATGAACACTAAACCAGCTTTGCTGCGCATCTACCTGACATACATGGGTTGGGGTTCTTGGCAGGTAGAAGTTAACATGGCCCATCTTTTTCCTTCCGCTACGACTAATTTTTGCTGGTCTTCGTAATGAAGCAGAAACATAATTGTGCATCTCATAAAGACAACCTAATCAATTTTATTGCCTTGTTTCAGTAACATCTTGTTTATACAACAAGCTAATTTCCTGGTCATGAAGCAAAAGCACAACTTTTTTCTTATAAATAGTATAAATTATTTTATTTACAGAAACTTGTTACAAAACAAATAGACTATATATTTATTTTCTTCTTTTAAATATCCAAAGTAATTTTTTTTCTACCCCATGACATTTGTTCATGTACTATACAGCAGCCAACACAAAAAAGTTCAGCTCTGAGCAGATGCTCTTGAATATGTATACAAATTATCAAACTATTCACACATTTTACACAGGAGATTGCTTTTCCCCCCCTTTCTATGGAGCCGGGCTCAACTCCAAAAGCAAGAAGCTTCCGCAGCCTACATTCTTATTGACATTATGTAGTGCTCATTAAAAAATAACAATAATCACCTTTCATAAAAAGTAGGATATTTTGCACAAAAGCATTTAAAATAAACGACCTTCTGCTTGAGGAAAGCAGAACAATCTTTTCAAGCCCAATCCCCTTCACCGTACAATTCCCCCCTTTCCCAAAAAGACAAAACAGAAACAAACATCCTTGGCAATAACAACTCTTGCCGGAAGACGACTTACCGGAAGATGATAGGTTGAAACCACACTATGTGAACCGCTCTCATTCAAACCTCACTGGAACGAAGAGGGAGTTACGCACTTGCTAAATCCCATTCGTTTCAGTGAGGCTTGTGTGCAGAGGATAGCCTGGCGGCGGCTTGTGTTGGTAATTTGTAAAATTGCTTCGAGAGGTAACTTTCCCCCCCCAATAATACAAAATAATGTCAACATTCTGTTGTTGTTTCGTTTCGTTTTTAAGTTCTAGCTGATAGCAACAGAAGAAAATATTCAAATTTACTTGTTGAAAAGTATCTCCAGAACCCTTGGCATTATTTATGAACTAGGGACTCGCTTCAATCGGATCTTTTGATTTTGTCTTATCCCGCCCCTTCCGCCATCCTCTCTCCCGCATTAATATGTAGTCATATGTAGGTGGGGAAAGCAAGCTCCGATTCTTTTTTCCAACAGAACATTCAAGTCTTTAAAGGAGAAGCTGTCTAAAAAACAGTCCAAGCTTAAAATCTAGATATATAAATCAGGCACTTTCAGTTTTTCCATTAGTTTTTTAAACCACGTAAAGACTCACATACATGTGCACACATACACAAATGCTAAAAGAAAAAGGAAAAAAAAAAGAATTAGAAGCCGTGGGTCATAACTAAAAGGTAGTCTTCTGGGACTCAGGTAACTGTAAGAAATGTTGTGTATACCAGAGCAGGCCAACCATATGCATCTAAATGCCACACAGCCTTCCTGCTTAGAGAAGTGGCGCCTGCGGGCATCAGACTGCAATGCCAGAGCCTTCGTCTGTATCCAGCAATTCCCAAGACATTAAAAGAAAGAGACACAACTCTTCCCCCCTCCCCAAACAAGAGACATCCCTTAAAAACTGCAAAGTAGGCATGTTATCTATTGGATTGGCAGTGAACCACTTCAAATTATAAAAAAAGTATTTGCTTTTCTCTTTTTAATTAATAAATACTAGATGATTTTCAATTGTACCAAAACTGGATATAAGAAAAAAAGACCTGTGCAAAAATACATATTTAAATATGTACAATCAATTAACAAAATATGTCTTCTGAAATAGGGATACTTCAATATTTATAATAGAACAAGAAATTCCAAAATAAAGATACAAAAGTATGGGTTTCATTATTTTCGTATAATTCTTTGTTCATCATTGCAACATTTTTTAATTTTTTTATTTATTTTAGGTTAAGAAAACTGCAGGAGTCATAATGAGAAGCTGGAAAGACTATAAAAATTGTATCTCTTAAATTAATACCAAAATCTTTCTAAGAAACAACCCAGCCACTGCAAATCTTGCAAGATAAATTAAATCTGAAATTTCCTTAATTATTTACAATAAGAATGTTGTCAGACAATAAAAGCTTCAAATACAATCATTCCATTTATTACTAAGCCCCCAAAATGGAATATTGTTTGTATAATATTTAAGCAAGTCTACACTTTGAGGGCAGGCATAAATTAAGACGTCCTCTGGTTCTATTCATGGCAAGTTTTAAAATTATAAGCCATAACAGACAGATACAGGCCACAATTCCATCCTGGAATGTCACTTACATAAGCCCCACTGAATGCATCAGGCAGGCTTTGCGCAAGAGCATGGCTGTGTTTGTGTGAAGCTCCCGTTTCAACATGGCTTGCAGTGGAGACATTCACAGTGGGAATTGGGCCCAGAGCTGCAACTCATATAAATTAAACACAGTGGTTAACTGCTGAACTTTTTACAAAGATCTGCATGTCTTTTAAGGAGCCTAAGACTTGCTTTGATGCTTTCAGAGCAACATAATATTTATAAAACAGACATTTTTGAGTACTTAAAGCCACTAAAGGTTTAACTTATGAAAAATTTGTCAGCCTTCAAAGGTAAATCTATCAAAACCAAATTGCACTTGTGATCAAAAATATCCAACACATGGGAAGGAGTCAGTATCGATTTTCTCTCTGCGGAGCAGATACATTACTTTGGTCGTCTCC